TACCACAGTCATGGTGGAACATGCCTATCACCCATGCTGTTGCGGACAGTACAAATAAGGAGATTATAGTCCAGGCCAACCAGACAAAAACAAAAGGATCTATTTTAAAAAATAACTAAAAGCAAAAAGGGCTTGGGAATGTGGCTCAAGTGACCGAGCACCTGCCTAGCAAGAGTGAGGCCGTGAATTCAAAGCCCTCACACCTTGGAACCCATCACCAGGCACTGTTAAAAGCAGTCTCTCCACAAGGTGATTTGGGAGAAGCTGAAATGCTGCTGCTGGATGAGGCCCCATTGATTTTCATCAGTAGTTCACAGGAGCATTTTTAGCAGATCAGAACATATTCTTACTCTTCTTTTGTGGCAGCCTTGTTACTGGGGATTCAAACAAAGTAAGGAGAGGTATGTGAATGGTAAGGACAGAACATGTTTCACAGGTATTGGCAAGAGCAATTCAATGCTGAAGGAAAAATGGAGAGAGATGGAGACAAAAAGAAATTTAAGATATAATGTTACTTGCTCAGTTAAAATTATTCTAAAAGAAGCAAATCCTTTCTGGGGCCACCAATATTTAAATAAGACCTCTTAATGAAAATTCAGTAAGGCACAACTGTAGGAAGCCAGGACATAGGAAAAAGGAATGCTGGCAGAGACAGAGGATATAAGGCATGCAACCCAACTATGAGGCTTTGCTACCTTCTCCTCAGGACACAGGACGGGAATTCAGCTGGCAAATGGTGTAAACTAATGAGCAAAATTAGCACAGTGGAGAGCCTGGCAGCCGACAACAGGCTCACCCATGTTTGCTTGTGCTTCTTGCCTTCATTTTTTCCTGTCTTTCTTGTGAATAATGGGGAAATGAATTTTGCAATTTCTGCTCATATTTCTTGTTTTCCCCTGGCCCAGAAAATTAAGCAGTGGGTTGTTCTTGACAACATTCTACCTGTTCTTTCTCCTCTGAGGTTCCTGAGTAAATAACAGATCCTGTGCTGGAGGAATATGCCTCTCTTCTCTCAATGCTGCTAACCTGTGGGAAAGAGACTTGCTACACAATCTAAGAGCTACCATATTCTGGACTCTAGGGACAATACTTTTGAAGCTTCTGCAAGACAAGGTACGTGAGTTGGTGAGTATGTGCTCATTTATATACTGACAGGAAGTTCTGGGGTGGGGGAGCTACCATGCTATGGGTCAAAATGTAAAGAACAGGAGCTTTCTTTGATTAATGGAAACTAAAATACCCACAGGAAATGAATCACTCATTTATTAGAACCAAACAAATTTCTGTAATTTACTAAAGAGCTCATGCTGGACAGTAAGGTGAAATTAATCTTCAGATGAAGTTGGGACCAGGATAACTAAGTTTTGGACCGGGTTAAATGTATCCCATTACTTCTATCCAGGGATGCATACTCAGTTTCAGACATATCCAACTCCCTATGACCTTCCAAACTGGCAACCAATGGGAACTAAGATAAACACAAATTATCTTGACGAATAAATGCGTTCTTCATAAGACTTTCACTATCTTAACTTTTCATTGTTCTGCAGATTTACTTTTTCTCAGAGGCCTAACAGGATTATCTTTAGTTTACTCACATTTACTATTGTATCTGAAAAAGCCATAAATTCTACCTTTTCATCCTCAATAGAAAGGCAGTTCATAAGAAGTCAAGATAATTACGGCATTATTATCTTACATATCTTAAAACACCATAAGTAATGTATAATGGAAAATTCAAGTACACTTACTTATTAATACCATCAAATTAGCCATCTATAAGGATTAGATTGTAAATGTACATTTTGTAATACAGAGGAAAATTCAAGCATCCACTTATTTTAATACAATTTGTCTCACTCTGGGATCTTGAAGAAGGGGACATTGGGCCAAACACTCCATCTGCCTTATCTAGGAAATACAACTTCAAATATTACATTTTCTTCACTTATATGTTCAGATATCATTAAGTAGACTAACCACAGGACAGGAAGAGTTATTGTAGAATTATAATTGCTATCTTCCAGTGTAGACATGAGGAGTAAATTAAAAATATGGAGAAACCTAACAAGGAATGAAGGCATTTATTAAAGGAGACTGACTCTTTTTTTATGGCATTGAGGGGAGAAAAAAAGAACAAAGGTGTCTCTTTTCAATTACCTTTTTAGTTCATCAAATTTCATTTTACCATAACTTGCATATGATGCTTTGTAAAGAACCTTAGAAATTACTGGTGATTCTAATTTTCTTCTTTATTTTCTAAATTTATGTAATAAGTATATTATCTATATGATCAAAGAAAAGCTTTTTTAAAAAAGTAAGTCCTTTTCAGAATGTCTAAAATCTAACAATAAAATTGTACCCACAATGGCATGTTTTAATACTCCAAATACTCTTCAACAGTAGGCCAATGTAGTATAAATAACAAAGCCTCTGGAAGTAGACACATGTTTAAGTCTTTCTATTACTACTTTTTCTGTATGATTTTGGGTACAATTCTTATTCTAAATCACAATTTCTTATATTTAAAATTATATGCCTCATACAACTGTAAGAACTGAACAAAGTAATACCGATAAAAAACCTAGCAGAGGTCTCGGCAAATAGGAAATTTCAACAAATGTTAGTTCCTTTACTTTCTCTCATGCTCTGTGACCTAACGTTTAGAAAATGAAAAAACACTTGGTTTGGAATAAAAAGGAAACCAATATAATAAATCTTTACTTTCATAGCTTTAACCTCATCTGAGAGTAAATTGACTTTCAGAGCAATTTGTATGTGTAGAGATCACTTGTTTTAGTCTTCAAAAGAAAGAAACAAACAAAAAAGTCAAGGTAATTAGGGAACTCAAAAAGAAAGCCATTGCTTTTTATAATCCTCTCTGTATTTTTTGATTTAAATAAACAATCTGACCTAAATGTTTACGATATTCTCCAATGTGCCTCTTTCTGATACCCTCCACTGGAGTATTAAAGTACAACTATAAAACTTCTAAGACATTAATATATTAAACCACTCAACATGATAAGGACACAAGTTAGAAAGGTTTGACAGTAAAGTGCCTACAATGAAAAATAGGTAAAATGTATTTTTTAGAACTAGAAAACCATGTTTGACTTTTTAGCACTAGAGTTCTTCAATTTTAGATACACTTAATTGTATTGAGTCAGAGTACAGTAAATGTTAATCACAGACTAATGGTAAGATAATATTAGTAAATATTTTATGGATACTAAGTTATTAATATAAAGTCTCTGTACTCTTCAAATATTTGGTGAAATTTATTTTTTCCTCAATTTTCTTTTTTGTGTGTGTGTGGCACTACGTTTTGAACTCGGGGCTTTGCACTTGCTATAATTAGAACCATGTCTAACCATGCCTTAGATTATTTATGAGATAGGGGCTAATGTTTTTGCCCATTATCAGGCTGCACCACGACCCTCCTACCTATGTCTTCGGTGCAGCTGGGATTACAGTGCCGTCCATCAGGCCCAGGTTTTTAGTTGAGATTGGGGTCTTTTTGCCTGCGCTGGCTTCAAACTGCCATCTGCACCTCCTGAGCAGCTGAGATTACAGTGGTATGAGCCCCTGTGTCCAGCCAATTATTTTTCAATTTTTTAGTCCTGATTATATATCAACCATCTTGGACATATGAAAATAGACTAATTTTAAAGAACTCTTAAAAAATGGTTTAAAGACCTCCACTAATGCATTTTTAAATGTTAGTAATTATTAGAAAATTCTCTTGTACCTATCCTGTGTGTGTTAAGCAGGGAGAACTGGAGCTGGCTACCACCTTCACCATGGCAAAATGGAAATAAGAGAAAGTTTTACTTTAATTCAGCATTGCTGACTCAGGGCATCTAGAGTTTTTCTTGGAAGTGAAGGCTCCTAACCATATGCTTACTTATTTAGGCATGCCTATTTGTTACTATTATAGTTATTCAACTGCATTGTCCCTGATCATGTTTCCAATATACCAAGATCACTGTGAAGCTAAGTCTAGTTGTGAGAATGCTAAATATTAACCCAACCACGAGGGCAGTCAACCCAAGATGTCACAGGTCATTTAAGTCAATGTTTATCAAGCTGTGCTCCAAACGGGAATTCCACGGTGTGGCACGGAGGCTCTTTGGACCAGTAAGGTGACACCCCCCAACCCTGCTCCTAAATTCAACACAAGTCTGCTTTTGCTTCTTTGAAATACTGCTTCTTTGCAATCAGTGCAAGTTTTGCAGGAATGTACTGTTTTAAGAGAAAATAAAGGTTTCCCCCCAGGCCCCCAAAAATCACTAGTTTAAGATAATGAAAATATTCAACACCATAATAACTACTGAAGTGCAGTGTGAGATCATTACTACCCTCCAGGTGATTACGAACACAAGGGCAGTATAACAAGAGAGACAGCTTTAAGAATTGGAAAGGGGTAAGGAAAAAGGAGAAAGACTTTCTTCCCCTTAAAAGGTCCAAGATTTGAGGTAAAATTCATACAGGAAGCATATCTATAGCTAATTAGAGCCAAGTGGGTCACTGGTTTGAAGATGACAAAATATACCTGCTTAGGAGAAATAAAAATGTCTTATTAACAGAAGTAGAAGGCTGGACTCTACCCTCTTCCATTTCTCTTCATTGGTAACAACAGCTAGGTGAAGATTTAGGGCTGTTTTACATGAAACATGAGTCAGTAAGGTTATTCTTTCCTAGGTTAGGGTTTAACTAAACACAAGTGAGTAAGCCCCTGGTCTATTAAAAATGTATGACACTGATAAATAGGATTAAGTACTTAGAGTTGTAAAGACAAATAATGGAACTTAGCTAATACTTGTCATTGTCAGACGCCACACTGATATAATCAAGCAAAAATCTAAAACCTAGTTTGATTTCTTTTCACAATGTTTATGAATTCCCTTTAAAAACAATTAATTATTATTAATTATTATTATTAATTATAATTAATTAATTATAATTAAGGCATTATAAGCAATACCTGTGACACTCACCTGTAGGGAAATTGAGCTGTCCTTTAATTAAGGCTTTATAGTAAGTTGGGGCAAAAAAACATTCCACCAAGAAGCTGTCTAACAGAATTATAATGTGAGCCACATATACAATTTTAAGTTACCTAGTACAGTATTTTAAAAGAGCAAGATGAAATTAATTTTGTTATGCATTTCATTAAAAATAACATATAATCAGCACAAAAGTTATTGAAATAGTTTACATATTTTTGTAATGAGTCCTTGAAAATCTGGTATGTATTTTACACTTGCAATGTACTGGTAAGAATTCAACAGCCACAAGCAGCTACTGGGTCATGCAGGTTTCCTACACACGACCTTGTTATATTTTTGATGAGGAAGCCAAAAACAAATTCAAATAACCTAGCAGTTTTTAGTTTCTCCTATGTCTAAATTAAGTACTTAGACTAGGTCCCCAGGATGACTGTATTACCTGTAAGTTAGTACAGCACTTAAATGGTAAACAGGCAATAAGGTGGCAAACCAATCAACTAATTGGAGGCAGTTTAGAACTTTGGTAAGATGGCTTTAGTAATGAAATTTATACTGAAGAGTTCTCAAGTTTATATAATTTCACACAGCAGATTAGACATGATTAGGCTTCGTGCTTTTATTAAATTTTATTTTACCATTTTTGCATTTACTTACATGTGTATACATTATTTGGGCCACCTCACCCCTCACCCCCTGGCTTTGTACTTTTAAAAAAGATCAATCAGAACCTTAAATTCCGATTGTACCAACTGCTGTGCTCTTCTTGCATTTTATGAACACGTAAGCTTAGATCAATTTTTTATATAAAAGAAAGTTATCACAACTTCTGCATATTCTGTTACTCTCTTTTCATATTCTGACTTTAAAAATCTATATCTGATTTCGATTCAAACTTAATAAGAAAACTACTTTGATGATTCACCTGAGTATTTCTCTACATCCCAGCTGACATTCAGATTTGTACTAACACCAGCTGCTTTACAACATGGGTCTATTGGGGGTGGAGTATAAACTGTCAAGTTTGGCTTATTTCTCATTTTGTGACATTTGATTGGTATATAAAAGTAATGATAATCTCAGTGCATCTTTTTCTAGGAGTTGTCTACAATTTAGTCTTTGCATGTATTTAAAGTCGGTCTTTTTGTCTCCAAATTTTCTAAATTTTGTTACAGAATGTTTTTTCCCAAAGGCAAATTTTATGATGCCACTATTTCCTTGATTAAATTCTTCTGGCAATTCTCTCACTAGCAGAGGTAGTAGATCCAAGTGACCAAAAGCAGTTCACATAAGATTATTAGCAAACAGAATTTTTATCAGTTTGCACAGACATCCACCAAGAAGGCTGACCTACTAGTCAGGAGATTTAACTGAACCCAGAAACCTGGGCTTACCTAGATAGAAGACTTGTAATAATGGGGTGGGAGGCTTGATAGTTTAGTCATATCAAAAAGAAAAGACTATGTGACTAGCTTCCATTCCAATACTCAATAGAATTTGTGCTGCCATGTCATGTGGAGGCAGTGATAAGGCCTGGTTTTTTTTCTTATTCCTCATTCTTGTCTTACATAAATTTTGGAAAAAGAATAGAATATGGTGATTTAGATTAATTTTAACGATGTCAGATGACTAGGTCATAGAGGCATACTGAAGAAATCAAATGCTCTTGGGAATAAAAACACTTTAACATCAACTTACATTCTTACCCATGAAAGCTCTTAAGACTGTATTTTCTTAGCGACCTGACAACTTACCTAAACTTAAAACCACATGGGAATTTTAAAGGCACTGAACTCACTTAAGAGTATGTATAAACCTAAACTAATGGATGCAAGTGCAGAGACTTGTTCTATGTTCCACTGCTAAGCTATCTCAAGTTTAACAGAATCATAGAGTTTGAAGAATTGTGAAAGTACTTGGAGGAAGAAAAAATAACAATATCACAAGAGTTTCACTGAAGCAATATGATAAATATTAATCAGGCTTTGCTTCCATATTTGTATCTGGAGTATCATGTTCAAGGCTGTGGAGTATTACCATGAAGTATTTGCCCTATTAAGGAAGGAGGCATATTTGCCAAAATGACCAGTTTGCTAAATTAATGAATTTTTTAAAAAGAATTCAAATTAGCTGCAGCTATCTGTCGGAGTCTGTCAGTCCAACTCCACTAAATATAAATTCTATTCCATTCTACATTTCAGAACCAAGGACTTCTTCAATTCTCAATATTTTATATCAAGTCAAGGGCTTTCTCTGAATGCAAGCCATTCTCTTTTCCAGTTGCACACACCCGGGTCCTTGTTGGTTCCACATCTAGCAGTATAGCAGCTGTCACAGCTGTGTCAGACTTATTTCCAGGTATTTGCAAGAAGTTTTGGTAAATTGCTTACTACACAAATTTACTCAGTGTTTACCAACGTGGCACAGTTTTTAAAAGGCACATTAAAAAGAGAGACATTACTAAGCTCAAAGAAGAAGCACATTCCCCAAGGAAACAGGGGTGCTCTACAATTTGGAGACTGATGTTACATATACATTCTGGGGACAATTTTGGAATCTACCTCACTCAAGTTTTCTTTATGACACTAGAAATTATTACTGAAAACACTGTTGATACAAAATTGAAGTAAAAATTAAATATACTGCCTATAGTTCATAAGAATAAAATGGGATGTTAAATATGAATAAAAAACTGTGATAACCAAGTTTTTATTTTATTTCTTATTCTATTCTGAATTCAGAGATCAGCTCTTTAATGTAAAAATAACTAATTTATTGAGTGCTGTTACATGCCAGGGATTTGCTATTGTTTGTAATAACAAGCCTGCAAAAAAGGAATTCTTTTTACAAATTTGAAAGCAGAGGCTGGAGAGTTTAAACAACTTGATGAGAAACACAGGTATTAAGCAGAGACTATTTTAAAAGCCTATTTTATAGTTTTAATGAAAATGCAGCTGATTTCCTGCTTTAGTTTACATTTAAAGACTCATGCATTAGTTCTATGGTCAGCATGTAAATAAAAATAAAATATATTCATCTTATATAGGGAAAATGATCTGAGAGCTAAAAAAGAAAATAATACTTTGAACCAACTATTTACATATTATATATAATTACTTTATGTATAAAATTATATATAATAGGCTTGCTAAACTTGTGATTAGAAAATTAATTTCCTAAGTAAAAGTATATTATATTTGTGCAACATGAAATGGATGAAATCACTATTTTTGTTATAGTAAGATTTTGGACCTGAACATGGTTTTGTTTTTGGTTTTTTTTTTTTTTTGGTGGTACTGGGGTTCAAACTCAGTACTTAGCACAAACTGCGAGGCAGGTGCTCTACCATTTGAGCCACATCTCCAACTTCCAGCCTAGATAAGAGTTTTTAAATGACTTAGTTACTGTAGGCAGAATTTATAAATGGCAGAACATAAATTTTCATGAGTTCTGGCACTTTCAAAATTATGGACATGGTACAGCATTTTATTGTGACTGACAGTATAATGCTGCTATAATAAAAATATCATGTCAACTTGTTCTCTCTGAAATGCCTGAAGCACTTTAAGTGTCAGATTAAAATAGAGAGAAGAAATGAATCTGCATGGTCTTATCTTTAGAGGAAGGGATAAAGAATGGTACCAAAATAATGTGGGGGAGAGGGCTGTTTTCATAATTATGTAACAACGACTGTTTGAAATGCTTTGATTATACTATCTTTTTTTTGCAGGTTTTTTTTTTTTTTGGTCTGTTGAGATAGGTTGTAGCCCAGACTGGCCTTTCACTTGAGATCCTCTTGCTTCAGTCTCCTAAGTGCTGGGATTATGGGCACATACCATCACATCCAACACCTCCTAACATCATTCTAGCCATGGTGGATGAGTAAAGTTTAGAGCTTTATGTAAATTCTCACTTATCCAATTTTTATTGGGAACTAGGTTTCAGTCATATGAGTTAAAATATAAGACTTGGGGCGGGGGGAAGGGGGGAGAAAGGACCCAAACATTGTATGCATATATGAATAAAAGAAAAAACAAGTAGGTACTTTAAAAAGAAAAAATATATATACAAGGCTTGCCCAACTGTGACACCATTTATTTAAATGATACCCATATTAAAAATTCATTTCTTTGTAAGTCTCTTGCTACTTTACTCCTCAATGGATTTGTTTCTATTTGTTCAAAAGTATATTTCCCTTGAATGCCAAATTCTACATCTGTGCCTTTCTTGTCTCCTCCTTCATAGTTCTGCTTCAAAACTTAAACTCTCTTAGAACTGCTCTTATTCTTTCCTCATCAGCTCAGTTTGTACAGTTTCATTTCTAAAAACAAAACAATATCCTTCCTCAACTCTTCTTCCTCCTGTTCTTTCCCTTCTTCTAGCAACCTTTTAAAATAAGTCTAGATATAGTTGCTTAACACTGGGCTTCTATCTTCAGTACCATATGACATTCTTGAAGACATTGACTACCTGGCTGTCATGTCTTCTGAACTTTTTGTTTTAGCACAATGCAGGATATTCTCTCCTTAAAGTCTTCCTCTTATTTTGGTTTGGTATTTTTACATATCTTGGTTTTTCTAGCACTATGAATGTTATGGACATGCCTTTTATACTGCTGTTTCCCAGTATTATCAGGACTTTCTTCTGTGTCCTTATCTGTAGATATCAAAATTTTTATTGTTAATGGTTCTCAACACTGGCTATCCATCAGAAATAACTGTGGCACTTTAAAATATATGGGTATCTGGGCCTTATCATAGCTGCATTAAATCAGACTCTTCACCTGCAGAACAGTAGAAGATGTATTTTTAAAGAAGACCTCTGGTAATTCTGGTACGTAGATTGTAGGTGTTCCTCAAGCACCTATGACCTTCCTTACTACCCTCTCCTTGGCAATTTCATTGCTTTTGGACTTACATATTATCACTAAGTTACTCATTCAGTACTTCTAGATGCCAAGAAAAAAAATCATTCTGTTACCAAGTTTGGGAAAGACCAAAACCACAAAGGCTATCTTACTGAAAAACCATGTGCATACTTCATATTTTTATGACACTTAATGTTCTCTCTACTCCACTAAAAAAGGTTGTTTACTGGAGAATCTACATTTTTGCCAAGTTTTCCTAGTTAGGTATCCCCAAAATCACTCTTTGGGATGAAATGTATAAAATGCTACAGGACTTGATGCCTTTATTCTAAATCCACTGAACATTATTATTGCCAGTTAACTATATACTGATTGGATACACAATTTCAAGTTTGAGCCACCAAATACACTAAAAATACATTAGATGTTTTGCTTGTGTTTCTTTTTTCCTCATTCTTAAACAATTATTTTTGAATCACATTTTTTTCCCCTGTTTTTTGATGGTCCAGGCATTTGAACCCAGGGCCTTACACTTGCTAGGCAGGCACTACTTCAACCACTCCACCTGAATTACATTTCCTAAGTTGAACAAAAACTTAAACAATAGCTGAGGCTCATTTCCAAATTAATAAATTTATTTTCTAGAAGAATTGGGATTTTTCCCCATGGTTATTTAGTTTCATGTAGAAATAGGCTATATGACTGGATTCCAAAACTGCTTAATTGTCATCGTACTCAAGTTCTTTTAAAACCAGTGATCAATACTAAACCAATAAAATACACTAGTTTTTAAGCTGTATTAATTTAGTCAGAATATTAAAAAGAGAGAGAGAGAGAGACCTGATAAAAGAGGGTGTCTATTCAGGGATGAATGAGACACTGAAAAGTATTATTTTCTAAAGCTAATGTTGGGATACACAACAATGGTGACTTTAATGACTATGAGAAGGCAAATAGCCACAAAATTGGAAGTAACTTTCAAAGACCAGTTAGTAAATGTTATCATTTGCTGGTAAATGGATGGAATTGGAGAACATCATTCTGAGTGAGGTTAGCCTGGCCCAAAAGACCAAAAATTGTATGTTCTCCCTCATATGCGGACATTAGATCAAGGGCAAACACAACAAGGGGATTGGACTTTGAGCACATGATAAAAGCTTTAGCACACAAGGAAGGGGTGAGGATAGGTAAGACACCTAAAAAATTAGCTAACATTTGCTGCCCTTAACGCAGAGAAACTAAAGCAGATACCTTAAAAGCAACTGAGGCCAATAGGAGAAGGGGACCAGGAACCAAAGAAAAGGTTAGATCAAAAAGAATTAACCTAGAAGGTAACACACATGCACAGGAAATTCAATGTGAGTCAATGCCCTGTATAGCTATCCTTATCTCAACTAGTGAAAACCCTTGTTCCTTCCTATTATTGCTTATACTCTCTCTTCAACAAAATTAGAAATAAGGGCAAAATAGTTTCTGCTGGGTATTGAGGGGGTGGGGGGGAGAGGGAGGGGGCAGAGTGGGTGGTAAGGGAGGGGGTGGGGGCAGGGGGGAGAAATGACCCAAGCGTTGTATGCACATATGAATAATAAAACAATAAAAAAAAAACCACAAAAAAAAGAAAAACCAAAATGCCAAAAGGCTAGAACATAACTCTTATGTCATATTTCCCTGTCTTTCATTTCCCCGTTGACCACTTCAGTCTAGTGAGGTCAGGCTGAAGAAACAAATGTCCTATCCAGGACATAAAAGTTTGTCACTTGCTTGCTGTTTCTGACCACTCTCCCTAAGTTCTGACAAATGCTGGCTCAGTCACCATTATCGTTCCTCCTACTGCTCCAACTTTTCAGAATATAAAGCAAAAGTCAGAATCTCTGAGCGTCCTGGACAGATGCACCTATGAGACTCTCAGAATTAATTAATCGAGTCCATGATTCTGGACTCAAAGCCCGGTAAGACCATCTGAATTCCTGGCATCCTCTATAATTCTGCATAAGGAAGTTGCTGATATACACACGAAACAGGAAAACTACATAGTATGAGAAATATACATAAATCCACTTGCATATGTGTATTTGCGTACACATAAATGCATATATTTCTTATCAATGAGCATGTAGATATTTGTTCATTGGTAATTGGTCCTAATGAATAAAGTTTTCTGTCTTGACTTTAAACTTCCCAGGCTATTTTTTCTTTCTTTCTTTCTTTTTTTTTTTTGGGGGGGAAACTGTCAACATCTTATTTTATTAATGTAAACATTTGATGCCAAAAGAAATAAAAGGAATTTAACAATAAATAAATAAAACTAGTGATCAATACTAAACCAATAAAATACACTAGTTTTTAAGCTGTATTTAGTCAGAATATTAAAAAAAGAGAGAGAGAGACCTACCTGATAAAAGAGGGTGTCTATTCAGGGATGAACGAGACACTGAAAAGCATTATTTGCTAAAGCTAATGTTGGGACACACAACAATGGTGACTTTAATGACTATGAGAAGGCAAATAGCCACAACATTGTAAGTAACTTTCAAAGACCAGTTGGTAATAATTCTCAGTAAGATTTCAGCTTACCTCATCGCCACGTTGCTGCCATCAATAACTACCGGTCTCAGATTTTCACCATCATCTGCTACAGTCTCTCGCGTTGGGGATTCAGACCTCTGCGACTCCAGGGGTGATGCTTCCCGCATCACACTGTTAGCAGCACTAACCGTTTGATCAGCCTCACTTTTATTTCCAAGTTTGACAAGTTCGCCCAAAATATCATTGATTAAAGCATCAGTACCAAGTTTGTTTAGCACAAGCTGAACCTGTTCTTCAGAATAACCTAACTTAAGTGCAAACTCCAGTTTTGTTTGGTATTCTCGAACCACATCTGGGGGTTTCTTCACTTCCTTGGATGGAGCCTGGGACTCCTCGAGTTTAAAGTCTTGCAAAATTTCATTGTGTTTGAGCAGGCGAGGCTCTAGGCAGGGAGACCTACATAACTGTCTGTGAGTCTTGGTTAAGAAGCATGGCTCTACTGAAATGCTACTCAATTGTTCTGACTCCTGATCAGAGTGTGTGCTTTCTTCAGAGTCGCCAGAGCTCACATCCTCTTCAGATACCTTTTTTCCCTCCTTCCTGGCATTAACTGTATCCATTGTTGGTTTTCCTATCATTGGCCACGGTACAGCTGCACTCAACTGTGGGTCAATGCTCTCCACATAAAGGCGACCAAGGTCATGCCCCAGGTGATCCTTCAAGCCCATGAAGTTGTCACATGTACTTGACTCCACTTTGCTGTTTTTTCTGTATTCTTGAATGTAGAGCACCCCGTATTCCTGGAGAAAAACGTAAAATATTTCAAGTGTCATATTTATTGATTCCTGTCTGAATGAGGAAGTCAGAATGCCAAATCACTGAATGCCTACTTTGCATTTTGTCTACATCCTCTCATCAGTCACAGCGCCCTTATCAAGACTTCATCAAATGAAGAAGTAAAGAATTAATTCAAGTAATTAATCCCTTTAAGGTAACAAAGAAGGTAAGCAGAAAAATGGATTTTTTAAGTCAGTTTTTGCCTAACACCAAAACCCATGCTTTTCCCATTATGTCATGCTAGATGTGAGAGATGTTACCACTTATGTTTCTAGAATGACACAGAATATTATCAAGAATCATGCTGTAAATACATCATGACAGGTTATGTATACTTTCTCTAACAGGATTAATAAAAAATCTTTTCAACATGACAGAAAATCATGTTAAAGAAAGAAAAACATTTTATCATACTTGAAAAATTATTAATTTGATGACACTTAACAGCAATCTAAATTAAAGAAGTTCTAAAAGTAATTTACATATTGAAATAAAAGAGCACATATTCTAAAATGCCCAAGAAGGAATTAAATAATTACAAAACTAATTATGTCCTTTGGCCATGTGTGGTGATGTACCGCTGTAATCCTAGTACTAGGGAGGCTGAGGCAGAAGGATGGTGAGTTTAAGGCCAGTCTAGACTACATAAGGAGACCCCATCTCAAGGAGGGGAAAAAGTTAATTACCTTCCACTTAGAGATACAGTTTACCCTAATATTCATGGACTTTGTGAATACTGAACATGTAATAGAAGATAATTTACGTACAAGGATAATACAGTCTATTTCATTCCAGGAAAAATGATTCTTTCAGTCTATATGTATCTATTGAGAGCAGAGAAATTAAATAGTTTAAATAAAAGTAGAAGAACAAAATTAAGTGCACCAAATAAATGCTATTATCTCAGTTTCTTGAACTTTATGGCAGAAAATATTTCCATGTTACATCAGATTAATTACTAGTGTAGCAGTTTCATTTCATTAAAAAGTCATCTTTTCTCTTATTTTTCCCTTCTAGGGACAGTTTTACTGTTTAAAATGCTCTTGCTGTTTTACTATTTTTCCCTAAAGTCCACTGGAAACAACTGTTATTCCTCTACTAGGGACAGGTTAGGGAAACAGAGTTTGTTTTTTTTTTTTTTTTTTGCATGCTTCATTGTAAAGATTATATAAATATCAGTGGCTTATTGCTTAAGGCAATTCCAGTGTCTTACCCAGGAGTAACATTAGCAAGCCAGTGGCAGCTAATTTGGGGACTGTCATAAACACCTATTTAAATAACCTAATAATGAAAACTTGGAAAACATTTTTTTCAGAAGCTCTTCAATATAATATATGCACTAAAATATGTAATGTTAAAAGAAAATGGTAAGTGATTTTCTGAGAACTCACAGATTTGAAAGTATATCTTATATACTTATTAGTCAAGTATTTCTATGAATGAAATAAAATTTTATTAACTATGGTGAACACTAGATAAGAGAACATGAAATCTTTAAAGATAGACTTAAAACTCCCTCAGTGTAGAACCCTTACACATTTCTCTGAGAAAGGGAATAACTTTAAGAACATTGTTCTTCCTACTGATACAGCATTCATTAGTTTTAAAGAAAACTAAACTTTCCTGGGTCCCGCATACTCAACAGATAAAAGGAAATATTCCTTACAAGAGCTCTGCAGGCATCTGCTCCATTATAAGGCTGTATCCATTTCAATTTTTTTCTATTAATATGGATATGCATGAGTCCAATTATTTAGAATCAAGGAAGGGATTCTGAAAGCATAGCTCTACACCCTGTGATGTACTAACTACTGTAATATACTAACACCATCAAGCAAGTAACAAATCACAACAGCATCCTAATAAAGGGATACAGTTAAAAGAAAAATCCACACTGTGGCCTTACTAGAGCTCCCACCAAAGTATCTTAAACAGGCAAAGCCTATTGGAAGCTAGGCTGCCTGGCAACCAGAAGCTGGTTGCTAAGCTGCACTCCTTTAACATGCCATGATGAATGCTAGCACAGTGAAAGAATAATTTGGTATGAACAAAAGCCTATAAAAAAGACTGGGACTTAAGTGCGTCTGGTTTACCCTCCCAGAACAATGCAACTGCCAAACCAATCTGGAAGCTCCGACATCATTGTTCTGTAAACCCCACAATCTGCTCTGACTGCAGGAAGTGCATTTAATGGGCAACATTTTTGATCTCCCCTGAAAAGTTTGGGTTTTGTGTAAGTGCTGTTGTGAGATAGTTCTCCAAGATAACGACCTGCTGACCAAATCCCTGAATTGAACTAGGAAATATTATTTTAATATTGAGCAGCAGGTTTATTGGTTTTTTTTTTTTTTTTTGGAGTGGAAGGGAGCAGTGTGTCAGACATGTTGAATACCTTATGAAAAAAACAGCCAGTGACGACCATTAGAATGCAATGCTTTGTTTAAAGTGTATGTGAATTTTCTCACCTTTCCACTTTTCAAAGAAACAAAATCAAATACAATTAAGTTTTTAAACAGAAAATCAACCACTCTAAAAAAGTATTTAAATCTTTCTAATTCATCTTCAATCTAGTATTCTTAAAAGTTTTAATATACTACCTAAATCTGCTCCATTGTGTCCTTTTATTATATGGCTGTAAGATTGGGAGTATGGGAGATTGGGAGTATCATTTTCATAATATTAAATCATCTAAAACCTTCGTATTTTAGCAGTGGATACCACATACTTTTAACTTGTGATAATTCATGCAATTTTCACATTAATATTTTAAAAGTTTGCATTAATTAGGCTGATTTTTAATGTTAAACATAAATGTAAGGTTGGTCTATTTTTTAAATTAACATTTAATTTTGTTAGGTAACATAACTTGTTTTAAAGTACTTTGGTTGAACTTTTTCAATTTCTGGTTCAACACTGACAGGCCTCTCTTCATCGTCTAGATTCCACTGCTTAGCTTAGAGAAAGTTATCTATAAAGTCAACTTGTTCTAAAAACAAGCAGTTAAACGATTTTTAGTTCCTCTAAAGCAAAAGACTAAACATAAGCAATACAAGTAAAGACAAATGAGTTCAATTGCTACCCCTATAAGCCACGTATATATTCTCTGTCACATAATACAAATTTGACTCAAATGGTAAAAATTTGTTTTTTAATACTTCTATCTGTTGAATGCTTCCTTATCAACTTATAATTAGTAAAGGTTGACCTAATTTAATGTGACACTCAAAAACAATCTAAATTTAGCAATATATTAAAATCAGTAAAAAAATTAAATGCTAGCCTAAAAATTTAAAAATTGGTAAAAATATTTTCATAGGCTACAGTACTTATTAATGTAATGTAATGAGTAAAATTTACAAGTAATTACAAAGAATGGCATATAATTTTTCTTTGGTTTAGTGCCTTAAAACTGACCAATATAATTTTGAAAAAGACTTCAATAAAATCACAGAATGTGCTATCACATGTAACACAAAAATACTTTTCTTATGTCTAAGCCATAAGTGGTTTAGACTTTTTAAGTTCTGCATTTACTTAAATCCAAATTTAAGTAAATCTTCCTAAACTTAATCAACTAAATATTAAATAATAAGGGTGATTTTCCTCATTTCATGAAGCAGCAGCATAGTCAAAGTTTTACATACAGGATACTTTATACTTATAGAGTTACCATAACAATCCAAAAAATATGGGCTAACTGCTAAACTTTACGTTAGGGATGTATCAGGTATTCATTATAATTGGTTTTTATAGACTATATTGTTAAGCACAGAAGGAATTGGATAAAAAATAATCGAAAACAGATTTCCACAGTGTTAAATGTACAGATTACCTCCAGATATTGCACTGGAAACTCAGGTTTATTCCTTGTGAAAGGCTATTTTAAAATAGATAATTTGTTGAAGAACCAAATTATGCTAAATTTATAGATGACAAAGTTAATTCTTTTAATTGCCGAAATGAAACTTTGTAATAGATGAATGCAGGTTTATGATATAATGATGATTTTATTAGAAATTTATCACAATATTGAAATTCTTCTATTCAGTGAAGAGGTTTTCTAAAAGTTCTAATTAGATAACTTGGATAATAATTCACCTCTAATTAGGCATTTAATAAAATATTCTCAAGAGCCTCAATCAGGAATATTAAATCATAAACTTGCTAAATCAATTTATTTGTAATGCAAAGTTACAATCCCATGAAAGTAGGTTCTGGTTGCTATCCAAATGATAATACTATGAGAACAATGAAAATAAAATAATGAATATGTAATAAATACCTATGGCTGTAGTCTCTGTGTATTTAATTACCATTGTATTTAGTGAGTGCTGTTGTCTGCATCTCCCTAGCTAACAAAGGAAGGATGTCCCTTTCAACAGATTGGTTAATGCTCTGGGCAACAGATGTCTACTGGAACTGCAGGAGACCAGCAACTGGTGGCCTGCCCACCTTCTGAAAACTTTCAATAGACTTATGCATATGTTCACACAATAGGGCATGTGGTAGAAATGAAGACCTCTTTTTAACCCTTTATGCTCTCTCTTTCTCGCTCAACTGACAGCCCAAAATCTTTGTCTATTCCTCACTTCCCCATTACAGAACACTTGAAAGCAACTGGAATGGTATCTTCAGTTTAGTATCTGAAATCAATGCAAGGGGGATACAGCAGAAGAAATGAGAAACTATACATGAACATCAAAACTGCTGACAAAGCAGCTTTTTCATCATATTTAAAACTGTTGTTAGAGCATCTATCGTATCAATCCCTCTCTCCAAATTAGATTTCTTAACACAGTGAAAAAGTCTACAAATATTACCATTGTTGTACAGCAACTAGGTATGACAGTGATACTTTAAGGAACGTAAGAATTTTATAAGGTAAAATTTAAATTTATTAATCAGAATATCAGAAACATTGTTATAACTTGGTAAGCTCCAAATGATTACATGCAATGCCTAATGCCTGATAAACGTTCATGAAGCTCTAAGTAGTATTTGCAAAATTCCAGAGTATAAAAATCATCTTTCACAGATATAATTTACAGAAAGAAATGAATT